GAAAGTGAGAAAGCAAGCTACCTGGTCTGAAACTTGAACCACTGTCAACCATGTGGGAATCCAGCACCCTCAACCACCACACCACCTGCTGCTGCTGCCACCCTCCCCCCCCCAGTAATTTTTTTAAGCTGCTGGACCCAGGTCTTGAACTGTGGTTGGCCATGTGGGAGTCCAGTGCCTTAACCATCTTGTCACCTGCTGGCCCCCATAGTTTTGGGATTTTTTTTGGAGAGGTTTTTGCTATAGGGCACTCGCCAGGAAGACAGAGAGACAGAAAGCAAGAAATCACCCCCCGGGGGGGATGGCCACTCCACAATCCCTTCTCCTCCATTCTCCTCTTGGGATCTGGGGCACACACGCACATGTGCCCAGCGTGAGTTTAAGCCACTGGGTCCGGGACTCGAACTGCAGTCCACTACGTGGGAGTCCAGCAATATAGCCATTACGCTGATTCCAGCCCCCATAGGTTTTCATGATATTGATTGAGTTGTGTGGTAAAGAAGGAGCCTTTGAAAACACCTTCAATCAGATGAGGACATGAGAGTGTACGGGAGAATGACAAATTCATTGGATATGTTGGGGTTTAGTGTGAGACCAGCTGGTGGAGATTCTTAAGGTCATTGAAATTGGAGCTTATTTCCCACTTCCTTTTCAGACTTCTTTTCTTTTTTTCCTCTCAATCTTTGCATTTTCCAGAGAGAGAAAAAGTGCCCCTTCTATGGGGCATGGTCATGCTGCGATCTTTTTTCTCCATGTCTCCACCCTATCAGGATTTGGGGCCTGAACACATACCCAGTGTGTTTTTCAAGCCACTGGGGCCATGATTTGAACCACAGTTGACCATATAGGATCCAGTTCCCTATGCATAGGCCTTAACCACTGTGCTATGGGACCAGCCCCCATTTTGGGACTTATTTACTCCAATCATGCTGATCTGTTTCTTATCTAAATATGCCCAATACACCTACCCTAAGGAGTTTGCTTATGCCCAGGAAACGCCTCCCTATTTACCTGAATCCTTCCTCATACCCCCACTCTGACCATCCTCACACTACCTTCTTCTATTTTTTTTTTTATTTAGAGAGATTTTTGCTATAGGGCGTGTGCACTTGCCAGAGAGATGGAGAGAGATAGACAGAAAGGCAGAAATCCCTTTCTGGGGGGATGGCCACACCACAACCCTCTTCTCCATTCTCCTCTCAGGATTTTGGGCACATGTGCACACGTGTGATTTTGGGACATTTGTACAGTGTGTTTTAAGCTGCCAGGTCTGGGACTCGAACTGTAGTCAACTATGTAGGAGTCCAGTGACATAACCATTATTCCATCCCACACACTAACTTCTTTCTAACTAGACCATACATTCAGCCCTTGGCCTAGGGTGCTCTGTGGTGGTGACTTCTTTGGACTCATGTTCATTTGTCACAGCTAGTACAGTCAATAAACACTCAGGCCTGAGCTGGTGAGCTGGCTCTGGGTGAGGCTCTGGAGTTGCAGAGCAAGAGAGATACACAGACCTTGTCCTGATGGATCTTTTTTCCTTCTTTTTTTTTTTTTTTAAGAATTATTTTATTTATTTATGTATTTATTATTTCACATGAGACATGAGTTTTTGCCAGAGGGAGAAGGAGAGTGAGAAAGCAAGCTGCTAGGTCTGGGACTCAAACCATGATCGGCCACATGGGAATTCCAGCGCCTTAACCACCAAGCCACCTGCTGGCCCCATACTGGTGGATCTTATAGGCCAGTAAAGCTTGGAAGAAACAAGACTGGGTATGGAGCTATCCAGGCTACTAAAGAAACAAGGCAGATTCCCCCCATCCCCACCCCCCCGAGATTCAGAGAAGGTCCTCCAGGAGGAAGTGACTTTTTTCCCCCTCATAGAGCACATGTGCTTGCCAGAGACAGAGAGTGAGGGAAAGTGGGAAATCACCTACCAGGAAATATACCTCCCAGGTATAGCCACACCACAATCCCTTCTCCTCCATTCTCCTCTTAGGATTTTGGGCACACACATACATTCACCCAGCATGTTTTTCTGACCTCTGAGTCCGGGGCTCTAACCACAGAGTTGGCCATGTGGGATCTAGCACCTTAAACACCATGCTACCTGCTGGCCCAGGAGGTGGCCTTTTAAGTGGACCCCTGAGTTAATCAGGCAAAGAGGTGAAGAACATTCTGAGTAGAACAGCATGTGTATAGACCCTGGAGGAAGTCCTGCCATGGTTGAATCACGGATGGCCAGTGTAGCTAGAATTGGGGCAGAGGCCAACAGGGACAGCAAACCCCCCAGGGCCTTCTGGGTAACACAGTCATTCAAGAAATGTCTCTCGGGTGTCAAGTGACTGCCAGGCAGTTTTAGGCACTAGGATTACTATAATGAGCAATCAGGTAAGATGTCTTCTACGTGGGGAGATAGGCAATAAACGAACAAATACATAAACAAGGAGATATAAGAGGAGGCTTCCAGACAGGGTGGTCATAAAAGGCCTGTTTGTCAGTTGACATGTGAGCCAAGTCTGCAGGCCAGAGACAGGTTACTGTCCCGTGAAGATAATGATGAGTATGTTGGTGACCTTAAGAGAGTAGCAAGGGAATGAGAGTGGGAAGAAAATGGAAGACCCTGATGGGTAATGAAATTTTTAGAATTTTGACCAGCCAAAAGAAGGGTGTGTGTGTCTTGAAGGCTCTCTAGCCCTTGCCACTGAAGGAACCCAGCCCAGACCTGTGCAGGAAAGGTTGTCTTCCTTAACCACAGAGAGCGAGTCATCTCAGCCTAGCCCACTTCACGTCAGAGGCCTGAATGGTTAGGAAACTCTTCCTTAGCCCTGGGTGGAACGGAGGGCTCAAAATGGGAGGGTTCCCTCGAGTCCCCATGATAAGCTCTACACCACCTTGACCCTAATAACTCATCACCTCGAATTTCCCAAAGCAATGCACTGTGGATGAAAATGCATTTGTTGGGACCAGCAGTTGGCATAATGGCTATGTTGCTGGACTCCCATGTAGTCAGTTGTGCTTTGAGTCCTGGACCTGGTGGCTTAAACTCACGCCAGGCGTGTGTGCGTGCCTAAGATCCTGAGACAATGGAAGAGAAGGGACTGTGGCATGACTATCCACCCTGGGGGGTGATTTCTTGCTTTCTGTCTGTCTTTCTGGTGCACGCACACACCCTCTAGCAAACCCCTCCACCCCAAAAATGCATTTGTTTCCAGCTGCTGGGAGTCCTTGATGGTCCAAAGACCCAGTTGAACAAACTGAGCCGACAAAGGGCAAGAACAGTACCACAGAACAACGTCGAAGGTTGCCTATAAAGCTTTCAGGAAAGAGATGGTTTTAGAAAGGGCCAAAAAGCTGGCTTCCAGGGTCTTCCTGATCAAACGTTGTTTGGTTTTCCCTGCCACCCACCTTCATTAATTCCAGTGACCAGACAGCAGTCAAACCTTTGCTTTTTACTTTATTGTACAAAAAAAGGGAAAACAAAACTTCCACAGTTGGCCTTACGCTTAGGCAGACACCTCTAAGCCGCTCCCTCCCACCTCCCATGATACAAATTCAAGTTGTGGTGGTTGTTGAGACCTACAAAACACTCCTTAAATATTAGAAAAAAAATGGGGGGAGAACAGGGGCCCTCCCACCCCAGCCATCCCATCCTAGTGCCAAAATGCACTGAGTGACCTCTTACAGCACCAACACCTCCACCCCCACAGCCCTGTTCGTACTGTAAGAATTTTTCCATTTTTTTAAAAAGAGGGGAGGAAAGTGCCCGTTCAAAGTTGTTTTTAAATGAAAGCATGTTCCACTAAAATACAACAGTGCAGGGCATTGAAATAAGGAAATACGGTTATTTGCAGGAGCTCTTGCAAAGAAATAACCTATAAACCCCTGTACCTAATTCCAGGATCAGGACAAAGGAAGGGGAGTGGGAGTGAGGAGTGACCCTCCCTGGGTACCCCTACCCCCAGCACCACAGTCCAAGGCAAAGCAGACATATCTCCGCCTTCCTTTGGGAGAGGGAAACCCCAGCCTTTCTGCAACTGGGGCCCCTCACCTTTCCTGCTCTACCTCCTCAGTGGAATTCCCACTTTTCCCCCATTCCTTGGTTTCATTCAGAGGGGGAAGGTGGAAAAGCGCAAAGCCCCAATTAAATGTCATTGACATGATTGTTTAAAAAGCCAAAACCCAAAAACCATTATTTAGTTAAAAACAAAAAATTAAATCCACAGAGATAAGGTGACTTGGCTTATTAAGAATCCAGGAATCAGGGTACCAAAAAAGGGGGTGGCTGGGAATGGTCAGAGGGGCAGCTGCAAAAGCAGCTTTTGCAGACCTCTTCCCAGCTATGGGGGTGGGGAAGGGAAGAAGAGAGGGAGCAGACCTGAGAAGTCAAAGGAAATGGGGGCGAGCTGGGGTACTGGATGGCAGGAGGGATGTGTCAGTTAAGAGCTCCCAACTCACTTCTTGAAGCCCAGGTTCGGAGCTGAGGATGGCCAGGCTGACCCCTCAGATGAACCAGGGAGGCTTTTCCCATCAAATCAAAGCTTTATCATTCACACCACCTTCCTTCTCTCAGACCCTGGCCACCGGGATGCATGCCCCTGGTGGTGGTGGTGGTGGTGGTGGGGACCGACATAGGCTTTAGCCTCTCCACACAGAGAGGCTTCAGCACACACCCCCAGATGGAACCAGAGCCCCGGAGAAAGGGGTGGCCCTGGCCGGTTCCCACCAGGTCACCCCAGGCCCTCACCAGCTCCTTCTCCAGACTCACATCGAGGTGGGCTCTAGGACAGACAGATCTCCTCTCCTCCACATACACACGTGCACTCACACACGCATAGTGCACCCACCCTATATACAGGACACACACGCAAATGTGCGCACACACACACACACACGCACACACAATCTTCCACACTCATCAAGACCATTTTTAAAAAGTCCCAAGCCTACCCCCTAAATCCGCCCTCCCCCAGAAATGACAACAGAGACGGCAGCCGAAATCGGTAGGAAACGTCTCGTTGACAGCTCAGAGCTTAAAAAAAAAATATATACACATATATAAAAAACACTTCTGCCCCCTCCCCCATGAGTGGGTCCAGGCAGCTCCTTCCTGCAGGGGGCAGGGGAGAGGGCTGTCAGGGCAGTGCCTGCTTTCTCAAAGGCACCGTCCTCCTCCCCCCATGTCCCCTGCCTCCAGTTCCAATGTAGAGGTCCAGGCGGCAAGCCCCTCTGGGAAGGGAGGTGTCCTCCCCATGCTTCCACCCCACCGTGGGCTGGGCTGCAGGTATGGAGGGCCTCGCTGAACTCTTTGGGACCCCCCACCCCACTCCCCGGTCCATTGTCCATGCCGGAACCGCAAGTGCAGAAGAGGGGTGGGGTGGGCCGGCTGGTCCAGTGCTGGCTCAGTCTGATGGTTGCTGTCCCTGGAGGATCCCCAGGGCTGATGTCTCTGATGTTGCAGAGTCCTGGCCTGGGCTCCTCTAGCCCCCTTCCCCCACCGTATTTGTTTAAAAAAAAAAAAAGAAAGAAAGAAAGAAAGAAAGTGGGGGAGGCCAGGGGGCAGGGGACAGGACACAGGGGAGAAACGAAGGTGGTCAGTTGGGGAGGGGAGCTTCTGGGCTCTCCCTGGCTGCCCTGGGTGGGAACTGAGCCTCAGTTGGAGTCAGAGTCCGAGGAGTCCCCTGAAGAGGAGGAGCTAGAGCTGCTGCCCTCGGACTCGTTGTCTTCATCCTCGTCGTCATCCTCGTCATCATCCTCGTCCTCGTCATCCTCCTCATTCTGAGGGTAGGGAGGAGAAAGGATGTGCTGTCACCAGGCAGCTCTCCTTGCAGACCCAACCATCCCTGCCACTGTGCTGTCTGCCCCACCTCGTCCCCGTCCTCGCTCTCATCTTCGCTGCTGGATTCGGAAGAGTCCCCGCCATCCTCAGAAGAGTCCCCATTCTCATCATCTTCCTCTTCTTCATCCTCGTCCTCATCATCCTCATCCTCTTCATCATCCTCCTCAGACTCCTGGAAGGGATGGAGGTTCATAGTAGTGATGTCCATCCAGCCACTCCAGGCACCAGGGCCCTGCTCACCCCCACCCCCCACCAGGGAGGGGCTCTTTACCGACTTAGACTGCAGGGTAGTCCGGCTGGACTTGGGGTTTGGGCCTCGCAGCTTGGTCATGCTCTTACGCTTCTGCAGCAGGGGATGGGGACACAAACAGGCAGCCGTGAATCCCAGACCCTCCTGAGCACCCCACCCACACCCAATTGCTGCCACACTCCAGACTCACATTGGAGATGTACTCTTTATATGCTGCACGGTCCTGGGGAGACAGACTCTGGGGGAGACAGAGGAGGTAAGGGCTGAAGACTGAGCAAGTGCTGGGCAGAGAACTAAGTACTTGGATACCACCTCTCAATCGCTACCCCTCCTGGTCTCCCCCATGCTCTGGGTCTCTGCAGAGATCACTACAATCAACCTCAAGACTGTGCCCAGCATTTCTGCTTCCGATGCCCCAAGTGCTTCTCTAAGTCATTCTGTACTAAGACCATGGGTCTCAGCAGTTAGTGTAATGGCTATGTCGCTGGACTCCCATGTAGCCGACCGCGGTTCGCATCCTGGACCCAGTGGCTTAAAACTCACGCTGGGCGCGTGTGCATGTGTGCCCAAGATCCCTAGAGGAGAATGGAGGAGAAGGGATTGCAGTGTGGCCATCCCCCCTGGGGGGTGATTTCTCACTTTCTATCTCTCTGTCTGTCTGGCGAGCACACACGCCCTATGGCAAAAATCCCCCCCCCCCAAATAATACTAAGACTGTGGGTCTCCATGTTTCTCCTGTGGAGGTTCCACAGGAAAGGCCTTCTCCAGCTCAAAGGGTCCCCCACCCCACCCCACAAGAGCTCATACAGTCTGACATCATGACTCACGTTGACACCAAGCTCTTGAGCCAACAATGAGGCAGTGGGGCTCTCTAAACTAGAAAACCTAAGCCCTGCCATCTCCTAAGGTCCTTGACTGCCGTCTGGGTGGCTGGTGAAGACACAGGTGATTGTCCCTACTTTACAGATCTGACTGACCAATAAAGGTAGAATTCGCCTGGAGGCCAGGAGTCAAGACAGAATCTGATCCCAGCTAGAGAGAGGAAAAGGCCATCTGATTTGGCTTTTTCTACTTACTGTGTGGCCTTAGCCAAGTTACTTAACCTCTCTGAGCCTTAGTCTTTAAAAGGATATAGTAACCATTACTCTTGAGGATTCCTGGGCACTGAATGAAATCACGTATGAGGACAAACCAGCACGATGTCTTCCTGTTCCTCCCAACAGTCTCTGGCCCTCTCACCTTGACCCACAGGTCCAGGTGCACCTTGTACTGCTTCTGCTGCTCCTCGGCCAGCTTCTTGTAGTGTTCCTTCTGGCTCTGAGAGATGCGCTGCCAGCGGCTGCCAATCTCCACCATGCGCTCCTTCAGGGGCAGGTGGTTAAGCTCCCCATTGGACAGCAGCTCCTGGGAGAACTTCTGGTAACCGTTCCTGGGAGAGAGAAGAGCAGTACGTGTGGGTCCGGGCGGATCAGGACTCTAACAAAGCAGCCCTCCAGCCCTGACCCTCCCCCCTCCAGGGTAGGCTCCAGCCCCAGGCTCACATGGGAGGCTTCTTGGGTTCCCCCTGAAACTTCATCTTCTTGGAAGAGTTTGTAGCAGCTGGAGGTGCCCGCATCTCACTCAGCTCTCTCTGTGGAGAAACCTGGAAAGGTCACACTCATCCCCCTACCCTACCCCTGAAATACGGCTGCCTCCTACTCCATGCCATCAGTGCCTTACCTGGCTTTCCTTTTACATGCCAGGAAGGATAAGGAAACTGAGGCATAGCCAAGGAGCAACTTAACAACTCACATCTGTGTTAGGCGCTGGAGTTTAAAACTGGCCAGGCGTGGTGGTACACACCTGCACTTCTAGCTCACGGGGAGGCTGGGGCAGAGGATTGCAATAAACAGACTCTCTTTTTTTAAGATTTTTTTTTTTTTTTTTTGCCACATGGCGCATATATTCACTGGAGACAGGGAAAAGTAAGAAATCATCCCCTGGGGGAGGTGGCCACACTATAATCCATTCTCCTCCACTTTCCTCTTGGGATTTTTGATATACATACACATGTGCCTAGCTTGATTATCAAACTGCCTGGTCCAGGACTCAAACTGTGGTCAGTCATGTGGGAATCCAGTGCCTTAACCACTATACCACCTGCTGGCCCCATAGACCTTCTCCTCCTTTCTCCCTCCTCTTTCTATTCTCTTTCTCTGATTTAAACAAGGCTGACTTTAGAGCAGTGGTTACATACAACTTAAGAGGAAGTAGGTCCCACATGGTCAACCAGGGTTTGCGCGCAGGCCTGTCAGCTTGTAAAACACACTGGACACGAGTGCGTAGTCAGGCTCCTGATGGGATGGAGAACTGGGGGAAAAGGACTGTGGTATAACCAGGCCTATTGGAAGTTCCCTCTCTCTCTCATGCGCATTCTGGCATTTAAAAAAAGTGCTAGTGGGGCTGGCAAGAGGCGTGGTAGTTAAGGTGCTGGACTCCCACATGGCTGACCCTGATTAGTGCCCCGGACCTGAAACCTTGCTTTCTCATTTTCCCTTTCTCTCATCAAATTAAAAATAATAATAATAAACAGGGGCCAGCAGGTGGTGTGGTAGTTAAAGGCGCCGTACTCCCACATGGCTGACCACAGTCTGAATCCCAGATCTGACAGCTTGCTTTCACCCTTTCTCTCTCTCTTTGATCAAATTAAAAAAAAATAATAATAATAAATGGAAATAAAGAAATATTTTTTAAAAATCTTAAAAATGATATAAAACTTAAAATTCTTCGTTTTGATTTTTTTTTTTTTGGAGAGGTTTTTTTTTTTTTGCTATAGGGCGCGTGGCTCCCCATACCAGACAGAGAGAGACAGAGAGACAGAAAGCGAGAAATCACCCCCCAGGGGGGATGGTCACGCCACAATCCCTTCTCCTCCATTTTCC